TAAATTATAAAGTACAAAGTTCATATTAAGACTAAATTCTCAGATGCAAATGTAAATACAAACAGCATAATAATATAGAATAATAATGCTACAATTTTATACAAGTGTCCAAAGATGACACTTTCAGCTAAAATAATAAAATTCATGATTAATTTTCCCTGAACTCCCACGACCTACATCAATGTCTGTCTTCGTTCCTTTCTTTCCTTCTTTCCTTTCTTCCTTCCTTCCTTCCTTTTTTCCTTCCTTCCTTTTTTCCTGGAACATTTTCCTTGTTCCTGCAGTGAGTGTTGCTACAAATGCTATTGAAATAATGTTGAGCAACTGAACATCAGACTCAATAGAAAGTTTTACTCAGAAGCATGATCAGATGTTGCTGTAAGAGTACCCAGAACTTTAGACTCGTAGACATTTAAAGCTCTAAAAAAGGTAAAATAGACCTTAGAGGTAAAGTCTAGCACCCTCATTCTACAGGTAAGGACATGGAAACACAGAAGTTTAAACAAGTGACCACAATTTCAGAGCCAACAATATTTCAGGTCTCTATATTATCATTCATAGGTGAACAGTGATGTTTTTGGGTTATCCTTATATCCCTTTTAAGAACTGGCTGAGTTTTGAACACAGAGCAGTGAAGATGGAGTTGTTCAAGTCTCACTAATTCACCTTGTTTATTCCAATGCATTGCTTTTCCTAGGGTGCTGGTGGGCTCTTTACTCGAGTTTTAAATTCTGTTTAGTGAAGGCTCTTACCAACACCCCATTAAATTATTTTTACGTTTAAGGTAGAGACCCTGGTCAAAAGGATTGAAACAAGAAATTTTTAACAATAAACATGCCAAAATAAATACATTATTTTAAATATAAATTCACAACATCAAAGAAGTCAAGAGCTATAAAGCCAGAAACATGAAATAAAAACTCCATATTTCCCAAGTTATCTTTGTGCCTGCTTTCAACTTTTATCCCAACAAACAACCTGGGCTGGCACCATTTGATACTTAGGCAGACTTTAGATGCATATTATCATCATTAGGCACGTAAGTCCTTTGTAATAACACATTTTAAAATTTTAAAACAGAATACCTTGTTTATGATAAAACATTTCATTGAGAGTTGATTAAATAAGTGATTCTTAATATATCTTTTAGAACTATAAATTAGGTCTGTATTTGTTTTTAAAACACCTTTAAGTAGATAACTTTTCTTCTCAGAGCATAGAACATTTTCCATCCCACATCCTCTTGCACACTCACAGCCATTTTAACAATAAGAGATTCTCAAATAGCTTATACCATTCTAGCAAACATTTTATTTTTCTAGAGTTTTTAACTTGATATTTAAACAAACTCTGCTGGATTTGATATGAAATGACAGAGTAGCTTGCTTGTTTTTACTATCCAAGGGTGAAAGATTAGAATACTTATGCAAAAGTCTATTTTCAAATGAGACATGTCTCATTTGATTTTGAAATTATATAGGTGACTGAATTTGTCTTATCCAAAGTATGCAAACACAAAGTGTCTAAAATGCTAAACATGTTTTGAAATTTCATCATACCAGAAGATTCATTTTAAAAAGAAGGAAGACAGACATTTCAAGTTCTTAGCTCACTCGTAATACAATCTCTATAACAGTTTGAGAAGAGAGCTACAAGACTTTTTAAACTGTTTGGTTCCAGAAGACTACCTGATGTATGTCCCTCTATAGCTTTTAATTGCCATTTCCACAGGCTTAAAACATTAGCTTATAAAGGGACTGGGATTTGGAGGAAGGTAATAGTAAACCCACTTCTTGATACTCTATTACCACTTTAAAATATAAAAAAGACTAAGAATCTATTCCATAAATACATTCATATCTAGAGTAATTAAATATTTTGATAAACCCCAGTAAAGAAGTAAGTCTTTTTTGGTAGCTATCTAGTATTTCTCTGGTACATAAATAAATTACATGTTTATATGTTAGACATTCTGAGATAAAAAGTAAAGTCTTCCGATGTAAGTTTTTAAACACTCAGTTTTCATTTCCTTGAAAGAGTAAAGACTTCAACTTTTTCATTTTGATCCTATGCTTCTATATTTTCAGCTTGAGTGAAAGTATACACTTTTTAAGTTGTGATCATAATAGACCTCATTCTTGTGGTAATCAAGATCAAGGTTAATATAAGATGAATAAACTTCCAAACTGTAATTTTGGTTAAAAATTTTAACTGTCTTCTCCAACCAAGGAATGTCAATGTTGGGCAGTAAGATAAAGTAAAAACTTCAGAAGTCATAGAAATTAATAACATAGGAAATCAGACTCTAATTTAGTAGAAAGTTTTTCCAAGTTGACCAAACACAGGGCATATGGATTGGACTGAAGGGTTGCATAGTAATTTGGAGGAAATAATCCTGACTTGCACGTGTATCTGAGGTTTTTTTCCCTTCACTAATATATTGTGCTCCTCTACTTGGAAAACCAAGAGTGAGTTTCACTGCTGTATTAGAGTATGTAATATAGTGTCCGGCTTTGAGTTAGATCCTCAGGAATTTTCATATCCCTTGTGTTCTAGGAGAGAGATGCTGGTGAATCATCTGTGGAAAAAGTATACCATAAGTACATATGAAGCAGTCCGAATAGATAAAGATGAAGTAGAAAAGCAAATGTAATCTAAGGTAGATACCTTTTGGAGAAGTGATTTCAGTCTTTCTAGGAATTCCTTGGGTGGTTTTTTCTCATAAGAATCACATGAAGGGCATGTCTAGAAAACAATGAAAAAGTAACATTCTTCTTTAAAATTTTTTCCCTACTTAATAAAATGATAACTTAAAACTTATTTTTCCCATTAGAGACATAAGTCATATTCACTGAAAAACATTTGGGAAGTACATAAAATTGTTCAGAAAGTAACAATGGAAGAAAATCACTTGTAATCCCATCCCCAGAGATAACCACTGCAATCCTTTGATGTATATCTTCCCGGTTTGTGTGTGTATGTTTTTTTACTTTGCATTTATGTTATTTACACTACTTGGTAATTGCTTTTTTTTTCTTATACTTAACATATCGCAAGCATTTCCTAGGTATTAATTATTCCTCAAAAAATGATAGATAGTGGTTGCTTTGCATTCCA